ATTCTGTTGTTTGGCTGCGATGGAGGCAACGCTCTTTGTTTGTGGATTGTGGTTTGAGTCCTTTTCGCCTTGGACTTCTTCTGATTGTTTCACATCCCCTAAATCCTCAGGGCTGGGCTGTCCATTCACTTGCGTTGTTGCTGTTTTTATTTCTTCGTTATTGGTTGGACCTCCAGGTGTCTCCGTTGGTGCCTGATTACCTGCGTTTTTTTTGTCTTGTTCTGTCTCTTGCTCTGATATTATTACTTCCGTCTCCTCTTCACGACCATCAGGTATACTGTCACGATCTTCTTGTTCCTCTTCTTCCTCTTCCTCTTCTTCGTCTTCGTCGTCATCCTTAGCTTCTTCCTCCTTTTTATCTTCTTTTGCATTTTGATCCTTGTTGTCCGTCGTTGCACTTGCCGTTACTGATGCTCCTCCTCCGGATTGTTGTGCCTGTAATGATTCCGCTGACACTACCGGTGATTCTGACGCCTTTGGTGCAGGTGCTTGTGGTATTTCCGGTTCATCATTTTTGACACCTTGTCCAGTGCCAACGAAGGCCTCTTCTTCTTTTTGAGGGTTCTTTTCGTGCGGTGTATCCGGAGGAGCTGGAGAAGGTGTTTCAGATGGTTCACCACCGCCGGCACCGCACCACAGCACGCAGAGGGCACACACCAGCAGCACACGGCCAGTCATCGTCATCATCATCACGGCTGCACATTCAGTCTAGGGAGGGACAAAGAGAGGAGGATGAGAAGAACACACACACATCAGCAGCATGGAAAAGGAGGAGTAGCGTTTGCATGAGGGTTGTTGTCATGACCATGGGGGACGCGTGCACGCAGGAAGAACAGGCAACAATGAAACACCGGACAGCACGGCACACAACTCCACGGCATGTAAAACCCACCCGCAGCTGCCCCAAAAATGGAAGGGAAAGAGGACGCAACAGTACGGCAGGAACACAGTGATGCCGGTGCAGAAAAGGATGCCAAACCGGCGTGAAAAAGAAAAGCAAAAAAAAAGTCTTCCCCCACAGCGGCCACATCCAACAACGAAAGCAATAATAACAGAAACAAACACCACACACGGCAACTCACAGCGGCAGTGAGTACCCTGTCGCCAATCTTCATGGCTGCACGCTACCGCACTCCTCGTGAGTCCATCGCTCCGCTGCCTCCTCCTTCCCGCGGCTCCCCCGCACGAACAGCCACGGCTCACAATCGGGTCCATCCACACCCGTCGCCACGCCGCCCTCAACGACCCAACAGGCAACCGCCCAAAAACCGTTGCTGAAATCACACACCCGCAACAAAGCACGCGACGCAACATCATGTCACGTGGACCCCGCCGTCAGAAGAACGTCATGTCAACCGTTTGGCCGGCACACGGTACAATCGATCGACAGAACAGAGAAGTAAGACAGGCACTCAATCAAGGACTCTCCAAACACGCAATGCTCTTTTGATGCCGCCGCTGCTGCCACGGGCACGGTACCCGAGCGGAAAATGACACGCAGTAGAAAAGGCCTCACAAGAGAGAAACAATCCACACGTCCATATGCAAAGCGCCACTCAGGCTGCTGCGGCTGCAGGGTCCGTGGGCAAAATGCGCCTTACTGAATCCCGCCAGTTATGTCAGTCTCCCCTCCCACCAATGTAGCGCATAATGCACGGTGTGCATCAACAGGCATCCGCTCCCGGTGCCCTAGCAACACTTCAGAACACACATAATGGAGAAGGGAAGTACCATTACACAATGCCAAAGCAGGTAAACAAAAATAGGGAAATCAAAACCCACAGATCCCTCGTACACGCACACAAACACCCCACAGTATCCCTCAGAAGAAGCCAAACAATTTCTTATCCCAACCCATAATACAAGCGTGGTGCCGCCACATCAGCGACCGACAAAAGAGGGAGAGTGCATACAGCATGTACCTGGTACAAATTATACAGAAAAGCAGAGCGTATGTATATACTGACAGGAACATGCCAGTTGATATAGGCCTTTCTCTCTTGCACCCACTGCTGAGTGTTGGCACCGCGGCGGCAGCGGCAAGCAGAAGAATCAGCGGAAAGGGACAAGCAGCAGCCGCAGTGTTACTGCCGTGGATCGGAGGCGGGGCGTCCTTCATGTCTGCCTCCCAACCCCCGCGCACCACCGCCGCTTCATCCTCCCTCGGCGGAGGGTCCACGGCGCCCTGCGCGGCATCAGCGGCATCAGGGCCCTTGGGTCCCGTGGCTGTGGCACCGCCACCGGCCTTGTCGCTGGCGGCCTCATCTCATAATGATTGTCCCACAACAGACGTCACACCATCGGCGGCCACATCCTCGATGTCCGGAAGATCGCGCTTCTTCTCCGCCTCCTGCGGCGCACCCGCGGTGTCGCTGGGCAAGAGCACACCGTTGCCGTCGTGGCACCTGAAGCGAATTCCCTCTCCTCTGGCGACGGATGCTTCTGGGGAGCAGCCGTGTCTAAGTCCCTTGACGGTTTTCCATGGCCGGTCTCAATGCTCTCCGCAACGGGGCGGATGC